ATAGACTTATTTTTTTTATTTGATCTCCAAAATCAAAACAATTTCGAAAAAATACTACAACCCTAATGTTTATGGTTAAATAAAATCCTTTTGTTAAGAAGTGACATTTCTTTGAATTTATTATAGGTAGGGGCGGAAAATTTTTATTAGACCCGGGGCGCAAATTTTTATAATCCGGCGCTGACACCGATCGACTTTGGAATCGCATCATTCGAATCGCATTTTGTGTGGCAACGCCGCATGTGTAAGGTGTGTTTTGACGTTTCTTATAAAGGTTATTAAAACGAAAAGAAGTAGTAAATAGCAAACTGTAGTATTAATATTATTCATTATTGTTAATTGTGTCATATTTGTTGCATTCAAACTAAATGAAAGATTCTGGCATCCCAACCAAATTTCGCAGAACTCTGTAAGCGGTGGAAGGTTCGACACCTTCACTACAGATAGCGCCACTAATTTCTCTTAAGGAAAATGTAATTTCTTTTAAGGGAAATAGCATTTCCGTTAAGGGAAATAACATTTTCGTTAAGGGAATTGTAATTTCCCTTAACGGAAATAGAAGTTAATTTTTGTTTAGTTAAAAATAAAATTATTTGGGCTATTTTTTGTACATATGATCATCAAGTCTCATTTTAATTCGATGTTATTTTCTGGTTCTTTAAATATTATTATACTCTATATATTGCGGTTCTAAATTTTATTCGGGACAACATTTCAATGAGTATTTTAAATTAAAATGTTTTTAATTTTTATTTCATTTAGGAAAGTATAAAACTATATCTTTAAGGACAAATGCATTTATATTCGTAATAGTAATTTTAATTCGTTTTATTTTAATACTTAGCCTGGTCTAACATAAATAAAATGTAACATTGTATCCAAGTCAGAAGCTACTTTAATAAAATTGAATTAAAATAAAATCCTTTTAATGTGTCATAAAATTGCTCCAAAAAACTAAAACAGTAAAAATAATTTGCATTAAAATTATAATTAGTAAATTTAATAAAATTTCTTTCTGTTAACGAAAATTGCTTTCACGTTAAGGACAATATTTAAAAAACCAATGGAAATAAATACAACAATTGCATTATTTTTACTATTTGTAAAGAAAATATGCATTCAATTTTGAAATTATAATAAAAATGTAATTTCCCTTAAGGAAAATACATATAATTTCAATTATCTAATGTCTCATAGAAATCAAGTCGAATTAAAATGAGACTTGATAGCCATGTGTAATAAAAACTAAAACGGCTTGCCATATACCCTACCAACCAACCCATCACAATAAATAAAATGAAATATAATTTTTAAACTTTACCTACATATTACAAAATTATAATTTTTAATCTATTGTAACCTCCTATAATTATAATCGTTACCGTCAAGAAAATTGTATTGGTCAACCTTATTTTTATTAAAGGACATTATATTTCACACAAGCGGCATGTACAAAGTCGGCACCGCCTCGCGGCTTTGTCTTTCTAAATTATTAATTAGTTGAAGCTTATTTAAGCTAAGTAAAACTAAGTGTCAATAAATAGGAATTAATTTTTTTTTTAATATGGAAAAGAAAGCTAGACCGGGCCGAGTTCTAGTAAAATGCTCATTATGTGGATCTGTGTTTAACAAGGACTAGAAAAAAATGCACGAGGAAAATATTCACGGTGGAAATTTGGTTAAAATTAAAATTGTTACTGTTCCGGATAATCCACTTACATTGGTAGCAAATAAAAAAAACAGAGACTTCAAAAGAGCATGCTAATGGTAGGTAAAGACATTCTTTATCTACAATTTACAACACTTTACATTCATGATAAAACTACTGGAAATTTTTACTATTACTACTAAAGTATCGATAAAAAAAATAAGTTGGTTTTTTTAATCGTCTCCACCCCCACAAAAAAGTGTGCCTCGGTACGCCCCTGGGTTCCAGCCCTTGACAAGGCAAGACGCATTGTAGCAGCGAGAACTATTAAAACGTAAGTTTAAGTTTAAAGTTTAAAACCAACAAATAATTTCTCAAAAGTGCAAACCAATTATAGTGAAACAACTACAGTGAGTATAGACTACCCTACGATCAAGAATGAGTTAAGAGTTAAGTGAAAAGCGAGCTGCTGGGCTATCATTCTACCCCTCAACTGGACGCTTTTCACTGGACAAACAAAAGAGAACAAAACCATCAAACAATTTTCATAAAGTGCAAACTAAAATAGTGTAACGGTCAATAAAGAGTAAAGTGTTAAGTGATAAGAAAGAGAAGTGACAAGTTTCAGCTTCTGGGTGGTCCTACCACCTGTCATTGGACGCTTTTCACTATACAAACAAAAGAGGTCAAACAAGAGGGGTAGTGGCCATCCGCAAAAATTGATATGTATCCTCGAGAAAATGCCTAACACAATTTGCAAAATTAATAATAATAATAAAATAATAAAGAAAAAAGACAATCAACAAAAAACAAAACTTCCCAATCGAACTATCGCGGTGATACACCAAAGCTGAGTAGGACAATAAATATGTCAACAACAAATGCGTAAGGCATGAAACCCAAGAAAACAACGTTAATTTTAACCCAAACGAGACCAATAATAAACATTTGACACTTAAAATATAAACTAACACTCAATAAATCACGAAAACCCAAACATAGTAAAAACAGCGTACTAATCAAACTCTATTGAATTTGTAAACACATTAGATTATAACAGAATAATTAAGCTTGTCATTTGTTTAACTAATAAATAAATGCAATACTTAATTTTAGAAATTAAGAAAAAAGACAAATAATTTTACCACAAAACATGCTAAAAAATTGTTAGAAATTTCGCACTACTGCGGCAATAAAAAATTAAAACAAAACATCAAAAGCTACAAGTTACATATCCAACTACTATTGCTGGTTTTCGGCCTCAAGAATGAAGACACATATATGCAGGAACAATCCTACTTGGACACGACCAATATCGACAAAACGTAGACCAAGACGTAGGCTCCTGCAGCAAAATAACAACTCCCGAACTCCATAATAAAGAAAAAAGACAATCAACAAAAAACAAAACTTCCCAATCGAACTATCGCGGTGATACACCAAAGCTGAGTAGGACAATAAATATGTCAACAACAAATGCGTAAGGCATGAAACCCAAGAAAACAACGTTAATTTTAACCCAAACGAGACCAATAATAAACATTTGACACTTAAAATATAAACTAACACTCAATAAATCACGAAAACCCAAACATAGTAAAAACAGCGTACTAATCAAACTCTATTGAATTTGTAAACACATTAGATTATAACAGAATAATTAAGCTTGTCATTTGTTTAACTAATAAATAAATGCAATACTTAATTTTAGAAATTAAGAAAAAAGACAAATAATTTTACCACAAAACATGCTAAAAAATTGTTAGAAATTTCGCACTACTGCGGCAATAAAAAATTAAAACAAAACATCAAAAGCTACAAGTTACATATCCAACTACTATTGCTGGTTTTCGGCCTCAAGAATGAAGACACATATGCAGGAACAATCCTACTTGGACACGACCAATATCGACAAAACGTAGACCAAGACGTAGGCTCCTGCAGCAAAATAACAACTCCCGAACTCCATACAGTAATCCCAAATGTTTGGAGTAATACTAACTGCCTGGTCTAGGGGGGGTACCGAGTCGTACTTACATACATTACATAAATTATATTATTTCCTCATTGCATTCTGTAGGTACATTGTGTAAACTATGCAGTCATATACAAATATTGACATTTATTTTAAATATTTAAACCCATTATCTTTTTACTATAGTTCTTGTATACAAGATTAAAAAGTTTCATAAAACCATTATTTATAGATATTTATAAATATAAACCCTACAAACTTAACTATTTCAATAGATAAATTTAGGTAATATTATTTCAAAAACACGTCCTGAAATGATTTATTTACATTACATTTTTTATTGTATGAGGACACGTGAGGCATTTTTGTGATAATTTGGACCCCTCCCTCCCCCTTGGTGAGATTTGGTGAGATGTGGTAGACCCCCCTATCCCTTACGTGAGATTCTAGCCATTACCTACCTTTCATGGCGGACAACATGATAAACCCAAAAAAAATGGATTACTTTTTTTTGACAAATTTGAATTATAATAGGTACTTATATTCTTTGAACCCAAAAGTTGACGTGAGATTTTAAACGACCCTTCCTCCCTTAACATGAGATTTGGTGAGATTTTGCTAGACCCCTTCCCCCTATTTTTATCTCACGTAATTAATGGATGTCCCGGGACATAGGGCCCTATGTATATCATAATTCAAAATCAAACAATTATTTTTTATTTAAAATGTTAATTGTTTGTAATATTTTTTAGATCGCACAAAAAAATGTAGTACAACTTTTAAGAATAATAAACAAAATGTAATAATATTTATAAAATTAGAATGCTCCATCTGAAAGTTTCTATAATTAAACTTAAAACACTGTACTTCGAGTTATAGGTATATGTTTAATGGCTTTAAACTGATAATAGATATAGTTATTATGTTAGTTAGATATCTATTTAATTCCATTAAACAAAAATATAATAATTTAAACAAACATTTGACACTTTCACTCCTTCAAAACGGAATATTTTATTAAATTCTTTGAATTAATTTTAAATTATTTCAAATCAGAAATTGCTTCGTTTGAGGCGAGCAACTTTTGGTTCATTTAAAATTTCTCATTTACTTAATAAGTATAAAAATTGCCCTGAAATGCATTTATAAATAAAATATTTGTGCCATGGCAAAAGTCAATCTAAATTTAGTTACTAATTAGTTGGACGAGATGTTGTGTTTAAAACCTTTTGAAGGCAACTTCTTTGTATGTTATTTTGCACAAACCATTTAATTAAATTTCCACATAATCTTTCACGATTAAATCTACAACCCAACGAAGTAGCTATTTTAATCTTTGATAAAAGCTAATTACTAAAATCACAGTAAGTGTCTCACCATTTGCAAACCCACTAAAAAAATACACAAAATAAATTTCATTATTCACTGTTCACTAAAAGTCTGTGAAGAAAACAAAATGTTGTGAAATTTTTCTTGTAAGAAGAAGTCATTTCGGATTTTTCAATTTTAACCACGATAAACACGTAGAAAAAACAAAAACATAAACATACTTTTGTAGTTTAAACAATTTCGTTTTTATCGCGACATGCACACTACAACAGTCGGTTTTATACTAAAATTAACACCGAATTTTTTACTTTCACCAAAGCGGTATTTAAAAAAATACATAAACAAACAAATATTTCTTAGAAAAGTTATATAATTATTAATTTGTTTATTGGATTTATTTATAGAATAATATTTCTAATGGTGCAATAATATAATTATAAATGAAACAAAACAGAATACCACTTATTAAGCAGTGCTTAAGCTACCTTGATAGTTTTACTTAATGTACTGCACTCTCAAGGATCAAGGAAACTGTTTGTGATTTTTATTTATTCAAATGAAAAATGTTGGTAATTTCTGGTAATATTTTGTTTAAAATTTTTAAAAAAATTCCTTAAACGGATATTCCAAAATTAATGGGCCAAACTTAAACAGTGCAATCTGTATATATACAATCTGTATATAGAAACATGTATCAAAAAATGCATTTTAACGCAGATACGACCCCCTAAAAGGATGATTAATTCCTTGAACATTTTGAAATAATTTTAAAAAACTTTGGTAATATAAATAGGCATAAACTGTAGATTTTAATCAAAGGGTAGGAGGGTATGAGACCCCTACCTTTAAACAGCCCCAACTTTTTTCTGGGTTAATGTTTTAATTTTTTTTAAATATTAAAATTCAAAGCTCTCTACTTAAACAGGTAGGTACTCTGGATTTTAAAAACATTTAAAATGGTTTACTAATATTTAATGAAATATGAGATGGGTATGCTAAAACAAAGTAATTTATGAATATCTTTTCGAAAATGATGCATCTGAGCCGTTTTTGTAGCTTAATTTCCCTCAATTTAACGCATATAATTAAATTTCGACAGTTTTGATTTTAGATTTAGATTCGGCATGTCAAAATTACCAAACTATTTAAAATTAATATCTTTAATCGTTTTGGAATAATTACAAAAATCATAATTTTTCCCCTCTTAGGGAAATTGAATGACAAGAAATAATAATGTTTAATGATTAATTGTTAATAAAAGTTGACGATGCACAGTGATTACTCGCACAGTGATCACTCAATCAGTGATTACTCGATTGAGATTGCAATTAAATCAATTAGTTGAGAAACCCTATGAGTCATGCAAAGCAAGTTTTGAGAAAAGTAATAAAAATGGTAAGTATTAACTCTGTTAATATGCACCAGAGCTGGGCACGAGTACTAAAAAAAGTATTCGTAAAATTTTAAGTACGAGTACTTAAAATACTTACTCGTAAGTAAGAGTACGAGTACTTAATGGTAGTTAATGGTAGTTAATATATTATTCTTTATACATTATAAATACTTTGGTCCTGAGCTATATATAAAAATACAAATAGAAATTTATAAAATTATTTATTTTATACATTAGGTACAGGGTGATCCCCTATAATGTCGCCCCCTTTAACTTTTTTATTTTTCCACTTATAAAAAAATGGAAAATTGATCAGTATACAGGAAAAAAACAAAAAGTTTTTTTTTTCTTAATGGATCACCCTATCCATAAATTTATTTTTCGATTCCTTGTAAAATTCTAAGCATAATTTATATAACATACCATGGTATATATCTAAATTCAACAGTTTCTGAAATATTTAAATTATTTTTAAGATAATAAGTTAAAATAGTTTTTGTTTCTCGTATTTTGTAGTACCTACATAACCAAACTTTTAAATTTTTTGAGACACTTTAAATAAAAAAATATAGGGAGGCAACATTATAGAGGCTCACCCTGTACATAAAATATTAAATAAAATAACAATTTTTAAATGTTACCTATATACTTGTTATAAAACCTATAGGCTATAATATATTATATTATACTATATATTATATAATTTAAAACAGACTTTCAAACAAAATGTTTTGATGCTTACGATATTTTGGCAAAAACTCATCGATATAATAAACGGAAATACTCGTACATATTACTCGTGAATTCCACGAGTATTTTTTACGAATACATTGAATTTGGTGTGTAAGTACGAGTAATAAGTATTTCAAATGAAAAAAACCTTATGAGTAAAAAAATACTCGTACTTTTTTACTCGTAATTGAAATACGAGTAAAAGTACTCAGTACTTGGCCTGATATGTACCTACCTATAGATGGTAAATCTGCAAAGATGGCGTTTCATTTTAAGTTCAAGTGATCTAGTTTTGATGTAGAGTAAATTTGCTTAAGCTGTTGAGAACAGGACCGCAAAGTAGCAATACTTAAAATACACCACGCCAGATATTTTAAGTACCGTAAAAACAAGTAATACGAGCCCTAACCACATAATGTTCGGACACTTCATAATTTATACAGAAATTTTTTTCGTGAATACTATCTCAAAATTATTAGAAGTTATGAAAAATTCAGCTTATTTTGGCATATACCCCTCGAAGCGATTTTTATTTTTAAAAAGTTTACCTTTTATTTTTAGCTTTTAAAAAAAGGCTAACTTTTTAACTTTTTTTGCATGAGTAAAAAAAGTTATAAATGGGCCCATTAAAAAGAACATAAAATATTATACAAACCCTGAAAATTTGGTAAAAATTGTATAAATAATAAGAAAGTTATAGCGATATATATATCTGCAAAATCTCCCGTTTCCTAAGAAAATTGCAAAAACTCTTTAAAAATAGCATTTTTAAATTACTTATACTTTTTTATAACTTATTTATTTTTTACCAAATTTTCAGGGTTTGTAAAAATAAAAGGTAAACTTTTTAAAAATAAAAATCGCTTCGAGGGGTATATGCCAAAATAAGCTGAATTTTTCATAACTTCTAATAATTTTGAGATAGTATTCACGAAAAAAATTTCTGTATAAATTATGAAGTGTCCGAACATTATGTGGTTAGGGCTCGTAGTAATTTCATTTTGGTTTAAAAATGTGAGGGCCTAACCTGCTAGTAGTGTTTCAGCAGGACTCGTACCGCGTCACAAAGCCAGAAAAACTCAAGCTGAGCAACTGTATTTGAATGGTAAATGTAAATTCTTACAATACTAGAGACGTCATGAGGTTATGTTATAAAATGAAAGCTCATGGTCTCGGTTTCTTTCCAGGCTGGAGCGAGTAGTCTAAGCTTATGGAAGTTAAATAAAATCCGAATCCGAAGAGGAGGATTTTTGCACCTGCACGAATGCTTTTTGTTAAAAAATATTACTTAGCATTGTGTTTTTTCGATTTTTTTCACAGGAAAAATTAGATGCCCGAATGGTATTTGACAAGACTATTTCATGAGTAACAGTTAACAATTAAAATATAAATTGCAATTTTTGGTGACAACAGTTGTCAAGTTTTGCCGCGGGTAAACGAAAAAACTGCTGACAGGTGCTGTCACACAGTTTTTTCACCTAGAAACCATTTTTAATTCAAAATTGCGCATTTGTGATTGGTGGAAATTAAGACGAGGGAAATAGTCGTAATCAAAAGTTCCACAAAAATGCTTTATGTGCCATAGCTGTAATCTGCACCTGTATGATGGTACGGGTCACTAAATCTTATTTTAGTAAAAAATTCTCATATTTTTGAAGATATTTTAAAAGTGGATTTTTTAAAACAATGTAAAGGACAAACTTGTGGAAAATTTAATTTTCTTTAAAAAAGGTCTTATCAGTTGAATCGCTAAGATTGATATTTGTTGAGATATAAAGCGTTTACATTGACAATTTATGAAATTTTTAGAATTTTCGTACCAAACTTTTTATTAATGATGATTTTCAATTGTTTATCAGTACAATTTTATCTAATTACGTTTTTTCTATAGTCGAGTGATTAGAGAAAAATAAATAACTTAAACAATCAGGCAAAATAACATAACTTTAAAGAGAAAAGATATATCTACCCTAAAAATTGATATAACGAGGTGTATTACATACAACATGTTATTTTATTCATCACAATGTGGAAATGTGGAAATTCAAAAACCTATATGCCCTTTGCTAAAATTTGTTATTTTAAATCAGAAATTGCATCGTTTAAGGCGAGCAACTTTTGGTTAATTTAAAATTTAATTTAATTAATTTAATTTAAAATATATATACTTTTCCTATACGAAATATAGAGAAGCACGTTTAAAAAGAAACATGTTTCAAAAACTGGCGCTGTTCTGTGTGCCATCCAGTACATAGTATATACACAATATTTTGGAGATAATTTAATTTTTTTTGAGGTGGGTGTCAAAATCATCACTTACCTACTTAAATAAGTGATGCTGGTAAGACCAAAGTCCAAACTATTTTTTTAATAAATTAAAAGAATAAAAACCACATAACATTAAAGACAATACAGTGTAGATGCCTTGCTTCGCTCAAAAACTACTAATAATTATATAATAATCTATCTACTATCTACTAATTTTTATGTTTAAAATAACCCGCATTTCGCATATATTTTTGGTGAGCCATTTCAGTATACAACATTGAAATCTTAGCACTGAAATATTTTCCTCCAAGATATTCTAGAATGGTTTTAAAGTCTATTTAACCAACGGAGTAAATAAAAAATACAATCACGCACTATAGTGCATATATGCAAGTTAAATCTGAACTAAAACATTGAACAGGGCTCTATTTAAAGCTTTTGTCAACTCAGCCATAACAACAAAATATATTTATAACGTTATAACGATTTATTTTACTTAAGTAACGTTCATACAGTGATGTAATTTAAGAGTTAATTTAATTAGTTAATTTAGTTGGACAACTTTTATCTTTAAAATTAAATTACGTTATTTCAAGGTTATTATAATGAGTATGAGTATGGGAACGTATGGCAGGCCCCAAATATATTATCCTTCACTAATCTCCCGGGGTTATTTTACCCCCTTTCCGTTCTCCTGCGTATCCCGTCAAATCACAGCATTACCTGTGTTTGTTGGATCCGAAGTTTTTACGCCAGCTGGTAGATCCACCCTAGGAGATCGTGGATGACAGTGTCAAAGGTTAAGACCGCTCCACGGATTTTTGTCAGCCGGGTCGGGCCATACGTCCAGTTTAGGAAGGGTTTTTGGAGGACATTGAACTGACCCAAAACT